TAGACTTGGCCGAGGTTAAAGAAGAAATCCCTCCTACAGCATTCAATGACAAAACTGTTGACTCTCCAAACTTCGTAGATGAGGATTTTGAGGCTGGACGGTTGTTTATAAGAAACCTATCATATTCAGCAACGTATGTACTGACACATCCTTAAAGTGATATCAAGTCAAACTTCAATATGTTATTTACCTCTAATGCTCATGTGTGATTTACTTCTGGTCACCATGTGTTCCTGTTCTTTTAGAGAGGATGACGTGGAACAACACTTTAGCCAGCTTGGAGACACCTCAGAGGTTCATCTTGTTGTTGACAAGGATACAAAGAAGTCAAAAGGATTTGCATATGTTCGCTACGCACGTGCAGAATCTGCAGCTAGGTATCTCTTCTGCCCTGAAACGTAACCTTGCTCCACTGAAAATGTGTAACTGGGACTGAATTTTAATTTTCCCACTAGTCTGCAGATTGTGCAGTGTTGAATTCTAACTTTCATAGTAGAATATCCTACTTTTGGTCTCCTCCTGTCTGTATTATGTTTTCTTGTACTTTCTTCTCCACCAAGTAGATTCTTAGTTGTCCATTTTTTTATTCAAGTATGTCCCGTTTTGTTGTAAGGTTTGCTCTTCACTTCTATGATTTTCTTGGTCAAAATCGTCTGTTGATACTTAATGCGCATCCGACATTACTTTAGTTTCCAATTTGGCAATTGTCCTGAGTGCTGGAGCCTAGAATCATTGCTATAATAATGGCTTCTACTCTGATGCTGGATTAGTTCATTTGCTGCATTCTTCTTCTAATATCATTGACTAATTGCAAAGCCATCGTGCAGGGCATTGGAGGAATTGGACAAGACAATTTTCCAGGGCAGGTTGTTGCATATAATGCCAGCAAAAAAGAAATATACAGCTGATAAGGAAGAGTAAGCAGCATGGTTCTTTTGGTCTCTTTTTCCTTTAACCACCTGATTTCTGCTAATGCTATCAGCTTTCATTAACTCATGTAGGCCTCGTATTCCCCAAGACCTAGGTTCAAAAACCCTAAAACAGCGGAGGGAGGACCAAAAAAAGGCAGCCGAAGCTGGTGGAGATACAAGAGCATGGAATAGTTTGTTTATGTGTTCTAATACAGTATGTGGTCATTTGATACCAATATATTTTCCTCATCGCCAAGCTTTTATGCCTGCATCCAGGGGTGAATCTTCTCTACTAGGCTTCGCCTTGTAGCAGAAGAGGCCTAAGAAAGTCGGATGTAAGCTCTACTTGAAAACAGCATTTACCTTCTCACCACAGAGATGTGAGGATGAGGTTTTTAGTGTAACTTTGCTAAACTCACAGGGTAGGGCCTAGGTAGACACTCCAGAATTCAGTAGGGACTGGCATTAATGTTTATCGTGATTCTTTGGCATAAGCAGATTATGAGATGATGTTGAGCATGGGAGGGTCAATGGGATGTTCTACATCCTCAGTAATTGGTTAATAGGACATAGCTATGCATTTCATATAATGTATGGAAGCTGAACCTGCCTGCAAGTTAAACAAGGACTTCTGATATATTGATGGAGGTTTTTCCCGGCAGCCATATGTGCCATTGCTGGTTACAGACTGAGTCTCGAAAATCTTGTGTATTGAAAAATTATAAAGGTTTCAGTTGTAGTGTTCACTGACATTAGCAGTTGAGGAAGTTTGAAAGAATACTATGTGGTGTAGACTTAAATTTATAGTAGCTTCTTGACACTGGCAGATTATCCTACAAAATAACATGTACGGTCTTCTGGGTCTCTAACTTACAATTCTTTTAACATGCTTCAGGTTGTTGAGAACATTGCCAGAAGACATGGTATTAGTAAAAGTGATTTGCTTGACCCAGAATCAGATGATCTTGTTGTACGTGTTGCTTTGGGAGAAACTCAAGTAATTGCAGAGACAAAAAAGGCTCTTGCGACTGCTGGAGTAAATGTAAAATCTTTAGAAGAAATTGCTGCTGGGAATACAGATGGCTTGAAAAGAAGCAAACATGTAGTTTTAGTGAAGAACTTGTCATATGGCTCCTCAGAAGGTGAACTGGCTCAGATGTTCGGAATATTTGGTAGTCTTGACAAGATTGTTCTTCCTCCAACGAAGACAATGGGCCTGGTACGTGATAGGGCTATCGCGTCATTGAATTATTAGTTGTTTTGTTGGATATGAAGTAAGCTTTCAAATGCTCATCATACACTATGTTAATGAAGTTATATTCCACTAGTTTTATGCAATCTTGATTTCTACCCTGTAACTCGCCTAGCCACTAACATTACCATCATTCGTGCCTCAGATTTATCTCTGCTGCTTCCTTATTCTATTGTACTATTGATTCATATAATTTATTGCATTACCTTTAGATAGGGAACTTTAGTCATACCTAAGCCCTAAGAGATTAAAAATTAGGATTCGTAAGGCATGTGTTGTGCTTACTGCGGCCAATTCTTATAGTATCATGATGTTTCAGGTTGTTTTTCTCCAACCTTCTGATGCACGCGTTAGAGGTTTAGCGTACAAGCGTTACAAGTGAGTTCTTCCCTAAATTTCTCGATTAAAGTTGAATCGATATGCTGATGCAATATTAAGGATGTCTTGGTGCTTACCATCTTGCACTGTTTGTGTTTGGTACTTACCATAATTTCTTTGGCTTCGTAGGGATGCTCCGTTGTATCTTGAGTGGGCTCCAGTTGATATTCTTAATCCAAGTTTTATCTCTAAGGATGATCAAACGAGTAATACAGCTGCTGGTCAAGATGATGTCAAAAGGGTGATGCTGGAGCAAAGTGTTGAAGGAATATCAGAAGCTGATATAGACCCTGACAGAATTGAGGTACATACGTTCATGAAAATTTTCTCTTATGCTCCCTTTCTTATTCCTAACCGAAACAATGTATAATTTGCGGATTTTAGTAATCTTGCAGTTGTCGCTAAGGCTTTTGTCCAGTATCATCTGCTTGTTTGTGAAGCATTTTCATCACTTTCTTAATATGATAGATAAAAGTGATGTATGATTGGAGTACATCATGTCGGTTCCAAAATTCCTTCGAAATTTCTAACTGGTCAATTGTTTTTCAGTCTCGGTCTTTATATGTCAAGAACCTGAATTTCAAGACATCCGATGATAGTTTGAAGCAGCACTTCAGCAAACTCATGAAAGAAGGGAAAGTGTTAAGTGCAAGGGTAATTATCTCTGAGTCTTACTGGCACCATTATACCTTTGACACTATTTGTGTTCTTAGACTGGTTTTCTTCATCGTCTGTAGATAAAGAAGCACTTAAAAAATGGGAAGAATGTCTCTATGGGTTTTGGGTTTTTGGAATTTGACTCAGTGGAGACAGCAACAAATATTTGCAGAGATTTGCAGGTAATGTTTACTCTGGGTGCGTGGTATTTGTCTGAGATATAAAGAAGTCCATTGCCTCTGTATGTGTATCTCCTTTTAATTCCATAGTCCTCATGCATTTCATAATTCTAGGCATTCAAACCAATCATCATAATGAACATGCAGTATACTCTCATGTACTCCTTAATTAGAAGAAAATTTCCCCTTCAATTTGGGTTTTGGTACCTATATCTTTATTGGAAGAAACTGTAACATTTTCTCCTTTCCTCGACCCACCCGTGTGTGTGTGTGTGCATTTGTTTGTGTGTTCTCGACTTCTGTTTCCTTTATTTCCTTTGCACTGATCTTGGTTGAATCTCCTTATGCTATTAGTTCCTTCTAGTATATACTTGTATGACGTAGAGTGGTATAACTATAACCGTATACTTGCCTCCTTATTGTACCAGGGAACAGTTTTGGATGGTCATGCACTCATCCTGCAACTTTGTCACACAAATAGGGATGAGCAAGTGACAAAAAAGGTGGAGAAGGATAAAAGTTCTACAAAATTACTCGTGAGGAATGTGGCCTTTGAAGCAACAGAAAAGGATCTTAGACAATTATTTAGCCCCTTCGACCAGGTAATAAATTGATTTTCCAGTTGAACCTGCTATTGAAGCTAAGTTTGAACATTTTGTTGAACAAGTCCCTGCCATATTCATTCAAAATGATAATAAGTATGACTTGAAAAACCGAAGCAGTTTATGGTGGCGTTAATAGAATGAGAACAGTTAACACGCCAGTAGATTAGATTAAAGCTGTGGTTATGGGAAAACTTGGTGATTGAACTTCATAGACATGTAAGCTGGAGTTTCTGCTAATGCTCTTGAAGCATCAGCTTATGCTAAGAAACTGAGGAACTTCTTTCTTTGTTCATGCCCATCTTGATCTACTGGGAGTTCCTCGATAGATATGTAATAGAAACACATTTCCATCATTGGCTAAATTTTGAAAGAATCTTGAAAATTGTCTGGTCCTCGACCATCCTGCTAGTATAGACGATACAATTCAGACAAATCAGCCATTATGATTCCCAATTATCTCTTTTTTCTCCTGTAGTTGTGGTTACAAATCATTATCATTATGGATTCGCAATGATTCATATGATATAGAACAAGCAATCGTCTATAAATGGTACATGCTGAGAGTGACATAACTGGAGCTCTGTTTTTTGTTGCCCAAACTTAAAATTCCCGAGTTGTTACTTGCTCAATTTTACCCTTTCCTCACTGAGTGTAGCTTTGACATTGTTTTTCTAACTTGGAAAAATGCAGATCAAGAGCTTGAGGTTGCCAAAGAAAAGGAAAAACATGGCCGTCTTGGATGAAGGAACTATGAAATTTCAACGGGTCACAGACTAAGTTATCTGCAAGCTTAGCATTTTCAGCATTTGCAGGCAATGATCCCCTGTATGTCGGTACTTACTACACACCGCCAGGCGCCAGCCCATCTTTTTTTTTATATCAGTAGGTGTTGGTTATTGTATGAAGAGACCATGAAGTTTCTGGTTTATGTAGGAAAGCATAAACTTTGTCGAATGTAATATATTGTTGCCTCTGTTTATTACCACACAAACATACGAAAGGACAAAAATTTACAGATTTCACAATGCGACTCTTATTTAAGTTTGTGTATGTACTATTCATAGAAGATGGAGTGGCCGAAAGCAAAGTCAACCATCGGCCTGAGTTCATCCCAGCTCCCACCTTCAAAACTCTCTTCCTGCTGTAGCCCGCTGCTTTGCTCGCAGAAGCTGCTCTGGCATTGATGATAATCATCGTCATCTTTATTGGTGAAGTTCATCAATTGGCTGTCTGAACTGCAACAGCCATGGTTCCAAACCGACGACGATGATTTAGAATTAATCACATCGACCAGCTTGTCCCCCAACACTCTGTATGGAAAACAACAGCTATCACCAGCTGATTCGTAAGCACTTGTTCTGCAACTGTGGGAGTCTGCTTTCTTGCTGTAAGACGCCTCTCGCTTGAAGATTCGACAGAGCGTCCAAACCTCCTGCGCGCAACCATGGACATTTGTTCATGTTAAGAACCTTTCTAGTTCCTTACCAGGCCAGGCCAGGCCCTAAGGTATCGGTGTCAATTAAGTATGCTATGCTATTACTCACTGCTTCGTAGGTGTTGCTAGGTGGGAGACGAAACTCGTGCATCATCCAGTCGGTCTTGGTGCCTTTCCCGGCGCTTCCCCTGTAGTAAACCAGAGACTTCTTCAGGCCGATGCAGAAGTCACCACCACCGCCGGTGGAATAAATGGGCTTGTCGAGTCCGGTGGCTTTCCAGAACCCGCAACTGACAGTCACCCTGTTGGGCCTCACGCTGTTCTTGTACTTCCTCCCTCTCTTGCAGAAGAAATACCATTCCCTTTCTCCTCCTCCCCCTTGTGCATCTGCTGCAGAGGCAAACACATATATAGCAACTGTCAGGACAAGACAGGACGAACGAACCAGCAGATACATATATATATACACACTTAGAAAGTAGGATTGCAGTTTACTTGGGAGATCCCATGGCTGATACTTGTAGACGTCGAGGTGTTTGATGATGTCGATTCGCAGAGCCTTCTTCTCCACTTTCCTCTTGAGATAAAACCCAACTAGCTCTTCGTCCGTCGGATGGAACCGGAACCCGGGGAGTGAAAGAGGACCGTCGTCATGTTCCTCCCCACCGCCGTTCATGATGTTCTTTTTGCAATGAACGAGGAAGTTTGTCTTCATCATCGTCCTCCTCATGTCGTCCTCCATTATTTTATTTTTATGATTGCTTGCTGCAGCTAGTCTTTTTCTCCGATGCTTACACACTCAATAATCACAAGTCTTACTAACTATTGTTGCACGTTATATATAGCGATGTCCCCGTCGCCATACACAATGGTGTGAAGGATGAAGATACGGATGGCGATTGCTATTATTTTATTATTATTGTTCATCAGATTTTTTCATGGAGTTGTTTAGGTCAAAGTTGTCTTGATTGACTGAAGAAAATCGGCTTTCATGGCTCTGTTATCTTTCTTGGGGCTGGCTTTGGTGTTCCAACCAAGGCATATGTTATGTGGTCAAAAAGATTGTGGTATTGTTTTTTCTTTCTCCTTCATTAGTCATTGCATTATCTGTGGAAATATGGGTAAGAGTGTCTTTTCGATTTTATTCTCATAATTTTATTCTACTCTTATGATTATCTTCTAAGCTACTTTAAGCCTACGTGTGGCTTCAAAACATCAAATGATCCATAAATCAAATCATGACATCCAGCCAAAGTACATATAGTACACAAAATCCACCATGCAGTAGGAAAATATAAAACAATGATAACAATAATAATATTGACGAATTAGAACGGATTCATAACAATTCAATCTCAAGAGGTGTGATCTTGTCCCCAAATCGATGTTTTAGACAAAGATTTGCAACGTTGTCTAGAGTGTCCTTGTGGTATCTTTAACTGATCAACACAAATATATAGAGAGGAGTACATATGAGATTTGTGCGACATCAGCCACCGCAAGGCAGCCCTTAATTGGCGGAGGGGCATTTGTGCCAAAGCAGTAATTTCTTGGCCTTTTAAATTGAGGCCCGCTAAAAAAATAAACGGGAGCTATGAACGGGCAGGTTAATTAGGCCTGCTAAAACATATTTATGATAAATTAAAAGTATACCTATATATGCTAATTTCACAAACCGAGACCAGCAATATGAATTACATGAAAGCATAAAATTATATAGATTACATGAAAAACAAAGAGGCTTTCAATCATAATTAGTAGAATACGGTATGAGTAGTTGCAATATGAATTACATGAAAGCATAAAAATTTATAGATTACATGAAAAACAAAGAGGCTTTCAATCATAATTAGTAGAATACGGTATGAGTAGTTAAATATAAAATGTATACGTGTATTTTACTTTATTACGCATAGATGAAAATATAATTATTACATATTGGTCGGAATACTTGAAGTATATATCATGGGCTCACAGGCCCAACACTACTGAATTTGGCTTTAAAATATAATGGCTATGACTTACATGAAAACCAAAAATGATCTTAATCATAGTTAGTAAAATACGATATGGATAGTTACATATAAAATGCATACGTGTATTTGCTTTACTACGCAAGTTAATCGTACATATAAAACCGGTCACGTCAGCCACATTGACTGAGAGAAAGGGTGGGGGAGAGAGGGAGACAGAGAGAAATACATGAACGGGAGGGACAATGAGAGGATATGAAGTGGTTGGGTGAGTTTTTATGTTTGTTAGATATTGAATTTAATAAAATTATTAATTGATTATTGAGATTGGTCGGAGCTCATCAAAGTGCATCCAACATTCAGATTACCTGGAACATGCTATACTTTTGGAGTATACCAGTTATTATCATATATATATATATATATATGATAATATGGTGGCTACTTCGGTGCACTCACTTTTTTGGGTGGGTGCACTCAGTGCACCCAACTCTAAAAGCGTCCATAATACATTAAATTTTGAACTTTAATTAGTACTCTCAATATAATATGATGATATGACATAGAATCATACAAATCAATCCATTGCCCTAACCCCTTAACATTCAATTTTGAATCCCAACCCAAAATCCCAAATTGTAAACCTAAACCCTAACCCTAAATCCCTAAATCCTTCGAACTAAAGTAAATTTTGAATGAATTTTTTTCAAATTCATGTGCTTCTTGTTCATAATATCATAAGCAACAATTGATACCGTTTTGACATGAGTCGCATGGTCAGAATGACAATTATGAGGCGGGTGCACTGAGTGCACCCGAAAAAGTGGATGCACCCGAATACGGCACCATATATATTATATATTATTTTATTATTAGAATTTTAATTTTGTACCTTATAGATATATCTTTTTAGAATATGTCTAATGCACGTCAAATAGGTTGGATCTCAATTCGACAATCGCTTCTTAAATCGCTTATTTAATTTGCTTGATAATTTAAATCAATATGAAGACCTTGCTTACATTGCACCTATCAACATTGTGAAAAAACCAATATGGGCAAACTGGGCAGGCAATGAGATGGAACGATTTCATTCCAGTAGGTGAATCATATACACCCCTAACACCACTGAAAATACAATTTGTATAATAAAATGAATTCACGAATTTTTTATCAAAAATAAAACATGCCAAAATAAAGACACAAAAGCGGGATATAGCTCATAGATGAAATAACCACAACTTGATCATTGACCAATTTGACCCGACATTTCCGAAAAAACAAAGATGGGCGAAAGGGCACTAAAACGGGATATAGCCTATAAATCGAATAACTACAATCCGGCCAACTGGCCAGGCAAAATGCTAGTTATTAATGAACTCAACACTCCTCCTCCGAGCGATCGTCACGGTGAATCCAACAAGTATATAAAATCACAATTCTCACAAATTCGAGGTCTCTGTTAGAAGGCACCGGCTGGCTCGACACCTCCTCTGGAATAATGTTTCCAACTACTAGATCAATCATGAAGATCTGAATGTAGCTCGGGCCCACCTTGTAACACCGTTCAGTTGTTATGAGGTTTTATTAGAGTGATACAACTAAAATAGATATACAATTAAGTGATGAGTGGTGGAGACAACTGTTTGGAGCTTGGCCAAGGCCAGTTGCCCGATGTCGAGGATGTATCGGAAAAGGGACAGATAGCAATATGAAACTTGACGAGAATCAATACATGTTAGAGCTTCTTTATAGAGTCGAATCGGGCTAAGGTGGTACTTACAACCTTTTTTAAGAGGATGCTTGCAACACTCAAAGCAGTTAGATCGGATGTTGAATGTTTTATAATTGTTCGATAAATGCGTGACATCTTATTTATAAAATTGTCACCGTGTTCTTGTAACGTGAATGGAGTTTCCAACCATCGTATGAACGGATGACTTTGAACACTGTAAACACATCTTTCCAAAAGGGATTGTAAGCATCCTAGCCGGATTGAAATAAACTCACAAAGGTGGTGTAGATGTGAATCCTTTAGGTCTCACTACTTCTTAAATGGCTAGTAAGAGCGAGGAATTTAGAGTCAAACTTGCCAACAAATAATAAAAAGTCAGATGACCATTGCATCCTTGCAGTCGTTGAGAACCCCTATCAGACTTATTGGAAAATAAGGGAACAATCAAACAATAATTGCAGGAGAGAAATATCATCAAATCACTTTAGACGCTAATGATGCTAAGAATAAGATTAGACACGCAAAATATCTACTATATTATACGTTTGGAACTTGGAAGTGTGACTTGCCTGAATTGGATAACATATAGGCATGTCAAATGGGTTTTAGGGTCTGAGTTTTGGAAAAAAATCCAAAACTACCACTGTTTAAAAAAAATTACAAAAATACAACTCATTCTCAAGAATTTCCAAAAATACCACCCTTCCCAATAAACTGCGCCTCGAAGGCGCGGTTCTAACTCAAACCGCGCGGGCAAGGTGAGGTTTGACCCTTCGTAGCTGTCAAATCACGCGATGGGCAGGCGATCTGACGGCCTAACCGCCTGTCGGCGCAGCGATCCACGTTGCTCACGAAAACCGTTGCCCTGAAGCGCGGTTTGCGCGTTGGGAAACGTAAAACACGTGCCGGAGGCGCAGTTTTTCATGTTGTAAAAAGACCAAACTGCCCCTCCAGCACGCGACTTCGTCCCTATATAAACCCACCCCTTCCTCCCATTTTCTGCACACCAAACCCCCATTCTCCTCTCTCTCTCTCTCTCTCTCTCTCTAAGTTCCTCACTCTACCCATCCCCCCTCCCCACCCAAAAACCTTGGAAGTAGTTGTTTTGTTGGTTGCGGCTAAGTCCGATTTGCCTTCAGAAAACTTTTTCTTTGGTTTTCACTAAAAAACCATCGAATCTCTGTCCGAATTCTGAAAAAATGGTCGATTTTATCCAAGAAGAGGGTATTTACTATGATGATTATCAAGCAATACTTACTCATTTTATCCAATTTTTGTAGTTGTTATAATGATTTATTTAATTTATATACTAATTGATTTATGTTGTTGTTATGCTATCGTAGGTTGGGCCAGATGTTGATATATACAATCAACGAATTATGTTGATCAAGGACCGATTGATCAGACTATTTTATACGATCAAGCCAATCATCGTTCAAGAGACGTTTGGAACGACCACAAGGTACATATTATTTATCATCACTTGTAATTTTTAATTTGTTAACGTAATTTATTTGTTTGTACAATAAATTACTTAATTGTTAATCTTATTGATTATTTTCAATAATTTAAATCAATACAATACAACACTTATTTAGACTCCTTATAAAGAAATGCATGTCAAAGGAAATGGGGATATGACCCAATGGCCGACTCTCTTGCTCTTGATGGCCCGGACCCTAGCTTTGTATCCCTCATTTTGATTTTTGCATCTATCCATCAGCCTCTTCGTGTCGGAATGGGTTGTGTGCCATTCAAAACTCCGAGTCATTGCTTCAGTGGCAATAGCGTGTCAGACCTCATTCTTCGTTGCAAATTGTTGGCCCTTCGTAAAGCCCGTGAGTGGACATACTGGCACCTCTGGCGGGTCCATGTCGGCATCAACATACCAATCTTCATTTGGAATGTGATTTTAGTACGGGATAGGTACACAATCGCGAGGTACCTCATCACCATCTGCGTCTAAACCTGGACCGAAATCATCAGCACCTTCAAGAGGATCGAAGCTGGCTGCACTAACATCGCCTTCCTCTTCTTCGACCTCAGGGTCACTAACTGGACTTGGATTGAACTCTTCTTCCATCTGATGATCATCATGAAAGGCA